AGTCTTCCCCAGAAACATCAATTACCAATAGTTCCTCAGTTGGGAATAGGGTCTCATGACCCTTTCTCAACCCATGCTAGAACGTTGACTGGCTTGACCTTCTTCAGTTCTTTCACAGGCAACTACAGTTACTGTGAATTGAGCACAACTGTCCTATCATGTCTGGAAGATGTACTTTCACTCCAGTCCTTTCTGACCTCTGGCTCTTGTGAGCTTTACAGATCCTTTTCTGTGCTAGTTCCTGAGCATTGGGAAAAGAGTATCATATAGATGTCATGTTTATAGCCATCGATACTTATTCTTAGTATCTTGACTAGTTGTGAGTTTCTGTGCTAACCATCATCCACCATACAAAGTAATTTCACCGATGAGGTCTGAGAGCTGTACTAATCTATGTGTGAAGAGAAGAGATACATATATCTGAGGGAATTTTGACACTATATCCATTTAGCCTAATAATAGCAGTAGATTTACCTTTGAAGCCTAGAAGCTCACCAACCTTGGGCTTTTAGTTAAGTTTACAGTACCAGGTATGTGTTTCCTCCTGTGGAGCAGGCCTTAAATCCAATTAGAAAGTGGTTGGTTGTTCCTATAAAATTCATGCTGTTATTGTACCCATGGGCATATGTTTCTATTCCAGTCATTATTGTAGTTCACATGATTTATAACTGGTTAAGATTGTTTTAGACTTCCTTTCATTTCTAGCACCTTTCATAGGACTTTCTGGTACTATAAAAGCTAGCCATTATTGAAAATGCCTTTCTGGTGTTGGTCAGTGGACAGTTTCTGTGGTCAGTGTGTATGGTGCCTTCAGTAACAGGGTCTTAACATCAAGTTCTGGTGGGCACGCAAGAGCAGTAGTAATAGCCTGTATTGATTTAGAAGATTCTAGGACACCTCTGACAACTTGAGGGGAAGTATCCTACACTAGCACTGGTTTTTTTACCTGAAAAACTATGGCTTCTGGTTTCTGAGATGAATATACCTCTTTTGTAGGAGAAGTCCAATTAAACTCTTTTTTTATTCCTTATTAATTACATTTTATTCACTTTATATCTCCCCTGTGGTTCCCTCCTTTCTCCCATCCCAATCCCTCCCTTCCTCCACCCTCTGCATGCATGCCCTTCCCCAAATCCACTGATAGGGGAGGTCTTCTTTTCCTTCTTTCTGACCCTAGTCAATTAGGTCTCATCAGGAGTGGCTGCATTTTCTTCTTCTATGGCCTGGTAATGCTGCTTCCCCCTCAGGGGGAGGTAATTAAAGAGCAGGCCAATCAGTTCATGTCAGAGACAGTCCCTGTTCCTATTGCAATGGAACCCACTTGGATACTGAACTACCCACATACTTATCGACACCTGATTTTTGACAAAGATGCCAAAACCATTCAATGGAAAAAAGACAGCATCTTCAACAAATGGTGCTGATCTAACTGGATGTCTACATGTAGAAAAATGCAAATAGAGCCATATTTATCACCCTACACAAAACTAAAGTCCAAGTGGATCAAAGACCTCAACATAAAACTAAACACACTAAACCGCTTAGAAAAAAGTGGGGAATACCTTTGAACTCACTGGCACAGGAGACAACTTCCTGAACAGAACACCAACAGCACAGGCTCTGAGAGCAACAATCAATAAATGGGACCTCATGAAACTGAAAAGCTTCTGTAAAACAAAGGACACTGTCCTCAGAACAAAATGACAGCCTACAGATTGGGAAAGGATCTTCACCAGCCCTATATCTGACAGAGGGCTGGTACCGAAAATATTTAAAGAACTAAAGAAGTTAAAAAGCAATAAATCAAGCAATCCAATTAAAAAATGGGGTACTGAGATAAATAAAGAATTCTCTGTAGAGGAATATAGAATGGCAGAGAAACACTTAAAGAGATGTTCAATGTCCTTAGCCATCACAGAGATGTAAATCAAAACAACCCTGAGGTTTCACCTTATACCCATCAGAATGGCTAAGATCAAAAACTCAAGTGACAACACATGCTGGAGAGGTTGTGGAGAAAGAGGAACACTCCTCCATTGCTGGTGGGAATGTAAACTTGTACAACCACTCTGGATATCAGTCTGGCACTTTCTCAGACAATTAAGAATAGCGCTTCCTCAAGATCCAGCTATACCACTCCTAGGCATATACTCAAAAGAGTCTTTGGGGAAGATTGTTTCTCCCACTCCCAGCTTTCCTCAGTTGCCTATGCTTCTTTGTGTAGGCTTTAGGCCTCTCATTTCTTTTCTCCTCATGACTCAGTAAATACGGTTCAGCATCGTTCCTAGAACTGGGAGTGAGTCTTATGCCTTCCTTACGTGGTTTCTTGATCAGAGAATCTGAGGGAATTTAAGCATCCTTACAAATATTAAAAGTGTGATCTCATGGGCAGAGAATAAAGGACACTTTTTATTGTGCAAGTTCAGAGCTGTCCCAAGGGTGACCAGCTTCTGTTTCCCGCTCTACTCTTCATTAGACTGGACAGGAGTGTTGGTAACACTCCCAGTGAACAGCCTCCTCTTTTCAGGCCCAGCGGAAGCAATCTTGGAGTCTTCCTTGAGACTCAGTATCTCTTAGTTTCAGCTGTGCCCAGCTGGCTCCATTCATGTTTAACTTTCCCTGTGCCAGTAGACCTAAGAAAATTCCAGGAAAATCATGACAAAGTTCAATATACACATTCTTTTTTTTAATATTTTGTTATTTTTAAATAATTTTATACATTCACTTGTATCCCAGCTGTAGCCCTCTCCCTCTTTCCCTTCCATCCTCCCCTCCCTCCCTCATCTCCTCCCTGCCCCCTTCTGAGTCCACTGAGAGGGGTGTCCGCCTCTCCTTCCATCTGTCCCTAGCTTATCAAGTATCTTCAGGATGGTTGCAATGTCCTTATCTGTGGCCTAGCAAAGCTGCTCCTCCCTCAGGGGGACAGGAAGCTCATGAGTTCATGCCAGAAACAATTCCTGTCCCCCTTACTAGGAAACCCACTTGGATACTGAGCTACCATGGGCTATGTCTGAGCAGGGGTTGTAGGTTATATCCATGCATGGTCCTTTGTTGGATAAGCAGTCTCACAGAAGACTCCTGTGCTCAGATATATTTGGACCTTGTGGGGCTCCCTGTCCTCTCTAGGATATACTAATTTCTCCTTCCTTCACATGATTCCCTACACTCTGCCGAAGGCTTGGTTATGGGTCTCAGCATCTGCAAACTGTGTAGCCCAGGCTTGCCTCGAACTTGTGAACCTCCTGCCTCTGCCTCCTTCAGCAAATCCTACCGGTGTGCACCATGACAACCGGCTTGACTTTAAAAAAAAATGTACTTTAATGGGTTAGGGGTATAGCCCAGTGGTTGAGTGCCTGTCTAGTACAGCTCTAGATTTGATTGCCAGCCCTGCAAAAATAATTGAAAATAAAATCTTAGAAAACTAAAAAAAAGAAGGAGCTTCAGTACCTTGATCCAAGGTATCTCTTAGGAACCTAAAACATGCAATTTAAAAATACAACATCCAAAAGAGTGGTTTCACTGTGACATTTTTATGTGTGGATAATTTGTACTTTGCTATGTTTTCAACTTTTGGTCTCTCTTTCCTCTCCAACTGGTCTCCCCCCTTCCACTAAAGTTCTTATCTGATTTCATGTCATGGTGGAGGGGGTGCCCAAGGGTACACAGATATATTTAAATATAGTTTTTACATAAAATAGAAAATGTAGCCTTTTTCTGGGTCTGGCTAATTTCAGCCAATGTATTGATCTCTAGTCCATCAGTTTCCTTGACACAATTCTGGCTTTTTTATGCTAGAATGCAACCTAATTTTGGACATATGCCATGCTTTCTTTGTCTACTCATCTGTTGGTAGACATGTAGGCTGACTTCATATACACATGTACTCTCACTATGTTATGTGAATTCAGGTCCCTTCAGGCACCTACACGGGAAAGATGTAACAATGAATTTTCAATGGCGAAACACTAGAAATTTTCCTATGACACATTAGGAGAATAAACCATATATGTCGTTCATGTGTTCCAGTGGATGGCCCCATACCGATGCACACGTGGAGGAAACAAAATACATTTTACAGTTGAAGAAGAAAGGGAGGTAGCTTAAAAGAAGAGGAGGGCATGAAGTTGGAAGGTAGAGAGTGAAATGAGAGTGGGTGTGATCATATTTCATTATATACACACATGAGATTCTCGAAGAGGGGAAAAAAAACACCATCCTTTGCAAATGCAATGATATATGTGTAAAACAAGAAAAGAGTCACCTAGATTGAAAGTATTTTAAAAAATCCAAAAAGCTAGTTGGGAATAAATGTCATGCTTTCCCCAAAACCAGCAATAGCTCACTAAAAATGTGTCTAAAATAAAAGAGTAACACTATCAAGTAATGTCATAAAAAATAGACTTAATAGAAAAATGGGGCAATGTCAACTCTTAGGGCTTTAGACTGTGGATCTATAAAAATGAAAATATATGCTTCTTTTTTTGCCTTTTTTTATTTCAGGAAACCCTCAACAGCTTGTGTGTTGAGTTCTAAACACGCAGGTTAGCTTAGCAGTTATGAAAGTGTAAGCAGCATTTATGAAGATGAAAGCAACAATTATCCATCTACCTTTGTTCCTGGGCTTCCTTTTGCCCAAGAAAAGATGGGAGATATGTGGGTGGCTGTACCATCAAAGCATAGTTATACTCCTATGGAGAGCTGGGGTGTGGGTCATGGTCTCATTCCACATAGCCGAGACTAAAGTGAATCATATAATCTACTCCATTCCTTTGAGACTAGGATAACCCGTAGAAAACTGTATTGGAGTACCCCCTCTAACATGGCACAGCAGAAACCATCTCAATTGCTGAGTAGGGGTGAAAAAGATGATGTCACTCCTCACCATGGATCATACGTGCTCAGATATGGAGTTACCTTGACACCCAGTCATCAGCACAAGTGTCATGTTCTTCCAGATACCTCTTTAGCTCTCATGCCCCTAATCTAGTTCTGTGGCAGCATATAAAGATTAATGATGCCTAACAGCTATGTTATCAGTGCTTATCAGTGTACTTGGAAAATAGCATGTGATTAACAGTCTTTGCTGTACTAATTGTTATGGGCAATTATTTTGACAGGTAGAGTAAATATAATAATTACTTTATTTCCATCCCATAGATGAAGAAATGGGCTCAAAGAAAAGAGTTGTTCTCAAGAATCACCAGAAGACAGACTAACACCTGGAACACAGTTGCTTTTAATGAAATAGCTGAGGGTTAACAAGAAGAGAAAACAGAATGAGGTTAGTGTCATTCATGCCTCAGTAATATGAAATGAAATGTAGTTATATCTATTAGTAGGAAATAACTTAAGTTGGGGTCTTGGATGGAAAAGATGGTTCTCTCAAAATCCAAGGTTAAGTCAAGGGAGCAAGTTAGCCTCCAGACCCAAGGGAAGGTGTCATACATGCTAACCAGAGAGGTTTTGTTCCACCAGTATTAAGCTATGTCCCTATCTGGTTCTCTGACTTTTGAGAGACCAAATTTGCCTTGAAAGCATGGATGCAGATGATACTAAATGTGGATAACTCCATACACTAGGTATTTCCCAGAAATCTTCTGTGGATATCTTTATGTTTAACCTAGACTTCTAAATCTTGGGACAGTTAAAGGGTGAGGTGCAGAAGAAAGGTAGAAGGGTCGGCGGGGGGAGCACTTTCTGCATAATTTAAAAAGTTCCTTCCACAATGAGTCTCATGGCCACCATTTATAAATGAAGAAACTGGACAAGATGAGGGGAAAAGTAAGTATCTGTTTCACAGTGAAGGCCAATGTTGGCAGTGGCTGCCTTGAGTGAATGTTCAGGAGAGACTCTAGGGAGACATTCAGGATGTAAAATGATTATAGAGAACAGTTTGGGACCCATGGGGGAGATGGGGTGACTAGAGATGTTTTTAATTCTGATAACCACAAAGAAATTTGGTTGAAAGGGAGCTTCAGGATCTTACAAATCAGATGGATCATCAGGATAGAGGCTAAAAGACAATGTGAGATTTCATCTTTTTCATCTAAGTGGTTGATCAAAATTCACAAATGGCCAGCCGGTATTGCAGGCAGTTCCTATCATTCCATCTCCCATCAGTATACATTTCCACACACTTCTCTTTGCCCCGAGGCTCCCCTGGGTACCAGTTGGTGTAGTTCACAGAAGCCCCATCCAGGTAGTGGAAAACTCCAGAATTAACATCTTCAATCACACCCAAGTAGGTATAGAGGTTGTACTTTTTTGCGATGCTTGAGATGGCCTCATTCTCCTCTGGACTTCTCGGGGAAGCAATGTTGCCACCTGCTCTGGTACACATCTCTTTAATGGTATCAAAGCTGACTGACTGACCATTGGTGGAGAAGACTTTCTCTCCCACTGTCAGCATGGATCCTTGCAAGCTGAGGACTAAGCAAAGAAGCCTGGATTAAGCTACTGACCCAGTTTCTCCACCTACTCCACTGACTTAGGCTCTTGCTCTTAAGCTTTCTCCACAACCTCTTCATCTCTGCTTTTTTCAGAGTTTTCCCTTCTTCTTCGAGGCCTAGTTTTAAAATTCATCTCTCTTTTTTCATCCACCTAACAATTACTTATTGCCAGAATCTGCAGTTGCATACCTTCCAATGATATTAGGAGTAAATCCTTTCTCTAAGGCCCCATGTCTACACTTGATAGGCGTTTAGGTTCTGGATCCTGGTACTGATGATTATAAGGAAGCATTGAGATCTGTGCTTGGTGAGACACCAAGCAGTCCCCTTACCTCCCATCATTTGCAGAATCTGATGTTTGATCTCGTAGAGTTCAGCCTGGAGCTCCTCATCCAAGTAAGCTGGAAACCCTATGGAGACCACACACATCCAGGATAGGACAATCCAGCAAAGAGCTCCACTAATCACATGTTCTGCCAGCTTCAAGGCTGGAGTTCTGTCATCTAATGCCATACCCAGAGCCTAGGAGTCAGTTTCAGTGCCCCAGAAGCAGAGCTTCTATGCTCCTATATAGCCATCTTTTAATGTAGCCTTGTGCCTGCTCAGCTTTCCTGCTCCACTTTCCTGTATCCCTTGACTGGCCCTTCATGCCCATGTATGTGTTTTTCTGGCTTAGGAAAAGTACCCACCATACACTCTACCTAGATCAACAATGATGACCTCTGAACTTTCCTGGTAGGCCACCATGCTGATCCATACCTAGAGCTACTGTCAGTGTGTGGGAATCCAGATCACACTCTCTTCCTGGATTCCAGATCTGTATATCCCAGTCTAGTTTTCAGGATACCCCAGAGCCTCAGCACTAAGAAAGATCACTAGACCTCCCAGTGCCACTTCCCTTCCTTCTTCCACAGGGCACCATATGTCTCTCCATCACTAGGCACGATGCGTGTCAGTCTCTGAAATGTTATTCGAACCCCTATACTTTCTCTCCTCCACTTCCTATTTTCTTAGATTTAGCAGTGTGCCTTGCACCCTTCCTTCCATCCCTCATGTGGCTAGCTAGCATGCTGTGCCTCATCACCACTTCACTAGCCCCAGCCCTGCTCACCTGGAAGGCCCCTCTCTCCAGGTGCTCCCTTGTCTCCAGGTTCTCCAGGTACACCAGGGGCCCCAGGCAGCCCATCATGCCCAGGGAGACCTGGCATTCCTCCAGGAGGGCCCATGGGACCTACCGAGTGAAGAGGACACAGACATGTGGACTTCCATTAGCATGTGGGTGACTCACTTCTCTCTCCACCAGAACTTTATAAAGATACATGATCCAGCCTTGGGACTCTAACGTCTCATCAGCTAGAGCCCTAGACAGACTTGCCTGAAAGCAAGTCCCTGTTCCTGAGCTAAGGATGGCTTCTCCCACACAGTACCTGGAGGTCCGGGGTCTCCTTTGACACCATCTCTTCCATCTCTGCCAGGTAGGCCATGGTTTCCAGGAGTGCCAGGGATACCGGGGCTTCCAGCGCACACTTCTGTCCCATTGCACTTGATACCAGCAACAAAAGTCAAGAAGAGGGTGAAGGCCAAAGAGCACAGTGACATGGCTACTGCACCGGCGGCTTCTCCTGCAGGAGAGAAGGGACACCAGCCCATCTGCAGCATTAGCAGAGCTCTCCTCTGACCCCCATTTTTGGGCACTTGGCAGGACCCAGGAACACAGAGGAGATTGACAGACAAGTACAGCCAAGAATACCAAGAAGGCCCAAACTATCCCATTAGAAATTCCGAGCACCATCTGCTGTGTAACACAACCACACTCTAGCCCTTCTGCTTCCATTAATGTGATCCCTAAACAGAAGAGGAGCAAGTCAGAGTCAGAGGCCTGAGTCCTTGGGAGATTCTTTTTGGTTATAACCTCACTGTGTAGCCCCAGGGAACTTGCTGTACCTCTCTGACCTTACTAAACCTTCAGTGCTCTGTAAATAATCCTAATAGGGAGGTCTGTGGTCACCAGTTTACTCCATCTGTCCCTCAATGTTTTTTAAGTTACTCTGTTTTGGGTTCTTGGGGATCAGAGAGCCAAGGCTAGACAGAGATGAGCAGGTTTCATACTCCTGCTAAAATGTCAGTGGCAAGCTGTAGCTTCCTGCCTAGTCAGCCCTTAACTAACTGTGAAGACCTTACTGCCAGAAACCCGGGACTGGTGGCTAAGCTCACCTACACACAGAGCCTGTAGGCCGTGCGGCTATATGCCTCCACGTCAGAGTACACAGGTGGACAGCATCATTTATAGACGCAAGCTTTCCCCACCCTCGGAGGCCCTACCACAAAGGAGGGCCTGGCAGGAAGCAGCCATCTTGTTTACACAGCTTAGTTTCCTCCTGAGCACTTAACAAGAAAAGCACTTAGAAACCCTTGAGGGGAGCAGAGAATCTGCAGAAGGCAAGCTCTGGGTGTGTGTGCGAAGGGACTCTTTCTCTTGTCAAAGCCACCCACACCCCTCTATTCTGAATTAACACTAGCAGCACAAAATGAAAGCCTTTACCCAAGTTCTGATGAAGATCCACGGCCACTCATAAAAAAGAACCAAATCACCAGAAGGAACCACATACACAAGCATGACCAAAAAAAGAAAAAAAAAATCAATCAGTTAAGTCCAGCTACTCTATCACCAATGGCCCTAGGAAAGAAATCAAAGGGGAAATTATAAAATTCTAATGTTGACAATTAATAAAAGTGACAAAAATAAAAACAAGGAGATTAAATAAAGGAGGCCCAGAGAAAAGAAAAAGTGAAGAAGCAAGGTTAAATAAAAGGGGGAGAGAAGAGAAAGAAAGCAGAGCAAGACACACACAAAGAAAATCTGTTTATAAAATAAAAACACGAAATTAGATAAAGGTAAGAAGAAGAATCAAAGAATTAAAAAATATATCTTTCAGAATAAAATAAAGTGCAAAGCAGGGGCTGAGGAAATGGCTCAGTGAGGAAAGTGTGAGGGCCTGAGATTGCAACCCCAGAACAAGGTAAAGCAGGGCTCAGCAGCACTCTGTAGTCCCAGCTGTCCTCTGTCCAGATGGGAAGAGGAAATAGGAGAACCTGAATCTCACTCATCAGCTAGACTGGGGCGCACTGGCAATCCACGCCCTGTATGAAACAAGATGGAAGGTGACTACTGACACTCGAGGTTCTCCTCTGGCCTCCACATGTGTTCAGTGCCACACACATGTCCGTATTCACACATACAAACATGCAAAGAAGATAAACAAACATCCATTTACACATTAAAAGATTCAACAGCACTGTCAACCATGGAAATATAAAGCAACACTATCATAGGGTGCCACTCCGATGACTGTAACTAACAAGCAAAAGAAACAGCAACAAGCACTGAGCACACAAAGAAACTGGAACTCTCAGGCGTCACTGATTAAAATGAAAAATAGTACAGCGATTTTGGAAGACACTTTGGGAGCTCCTCAAAATATTAAACAAAAAAATTGTTCTTATGATGCAATTCAATTCTTAGCTTTTTACCTAAAACAAGTGGAAGCAGGCATTCCAAAGCTTGTACACAGCTGTTCAGATCAAAAGATACAACCAGCCCTGATGTTTCAGTAATGAGCAAACAAAATGTACACATTACTTAGCCATAAGAAAAGATGAAAGTTAAGGATACATGCTATGGTAGAGATAAACCTTGAAAGTGTTTTGCTAAGTGAAAGGTACAAAAAAGTATTGAATTATTCTAATTATATTAAATGTCTAGAGTAGGCAAATCATCAAGATAAAAAGTAAATAGTCACCTCTAGCAGGTGAGAAAGAGAGAAACTGAGAGTGACTGCTTTATACAGGGTTTCTTTGGAGGAATGATAAAAATATCATGGGATTAGGTAATGGTAGTGATACAATATGCAAGGCCATTGACTTACACACTTCCACAAGGCAGTGCTGGACAGGGTCTATATAGCATGCCACAATGGGGGATATGGGCTGGTGTCTTTAAGCAGAAAGACCCCTGAAGTCCCTGAGAGGGCTATTTTCTGGCTCTCCTCCACTTTAGACCCTAAGATAACTGTTCTAAGATCAGCAGAGGCAGTGGTGCCAGCCACCACCACCTCTAACACTGGAGGGGTGGGAAGCCATCCTCCTGCCTCTCCTGTCATAAGGACCAGGCTTTTACACCTCAAAGCAGGCCAGGGGGAAGACGGAACATACACATACAGAATTTACCTCAACACTTAACTGGGCTCTGTAACTTGTTGATCATAGTTACCTTGCAACAGGCCTCAGTCATTACATTTGTAAAATAAATGACTGAATTTGTAAAATAAAGACAGTTCTTAGCTGATTGGTGCTGCAGGCCTTGCATAAAATCACATTTTGTGTTTGTTCCTATTCTTTAAAAAAAAAAAGGGAGGGGCTCTTTTCCACAGAGAAGAATTATATGGGACAGGAAGGTTCTGGGGCACGGGTACACTAAGGCATCCAGGAGCCTTAGTGTAGGTAAGGAAAGTGATACATCAATTACAGAGTCTCATTGTCTCTTCTGGAATGAGCAGAACTTTCAAAGGGGCCCTTTCACAGGTGTTGCATGGGTCTGCTCTGCCCTCTGCTGGTTGCATGTGAAAATGCAGCCAACTGAAGGGCTTTGCAGACAATTGTTAAAACACAGTGTGCCCTCTTCATCAGGTTCCACCATTCATAGAGGGCATCTTTAACTCGGGAGACCTAACATGGCAGGAGAGATGAGCTTAGTTCAATAAGACTTCCTGCAAATTTTCCTCCCATTTCAAGCACCCCATGACCTGCTCTGGGAGGCAGAATCTTTGTTCTTGTGTGTCTCCTTTTGTCTGGGCTCTTCTGGCTGCCTGTCCATCCCTGCTGCCCACAGAAGGCAGATCAGTGCTGTGCACCTAGAGAAGCCTAATAGGAAGCACTATCCACCCTGGAGTGCCTGTGAGATATTTGGTACTAACTATACCCTTTGCATCTTCTCCATCCATCTCTCTCACCTCCCAGCAGGATCTAGTTTTAATCCCTGTAACATATGAGGAAACTGAGTCTCAGTATAGCTGTGACTTTCCAGAGGTGCCACAGCCTGCAAGTTCTGAAGGAAGCCTGGCTCAGATTTCATCTTGCTTGGCCTCTGAAGCTCTATTTAGGCTTTCCTGAAGACTCCAGTGCAGGCTCTGTCCACACTAACCAAAGCCATGAGCCAGGCTCAGATTGGCCTTCCAATCTACAGGGTAAATCCAGCCTCGGCCTCAGCTCCCAAGACTGTCCTCCATGTCACCCAGAAACTCTGTCCACGGTGATCTCGGTTCAGCCAAGCTACTGAGCACAACAGCACTGACTTCCCAGCCTTGGCCCTGAGGTTGCAGACCTCACACTAGATACAGACTGTCCCCAAAGCCCTCAGCTTGTAAACTGTGAAGGTGGAGGTGGTTTTGAGGCAGGCTCTTGTAGTCCCAGATGCTTTGAAGAGGTCAAGATGAACTGAGGAACTCAAGAGCCTGCTTACCTTACCTTCTCCTTCCATGAGAAGCTGAGCTCAACCCTGCCATGGCCAGTGCCCTGGTGGTCAGGTGGTAACAACCATGCTGAGCCAGACCAGCAGGGTTCCCCTAGGCCCTTGTTCCATATACATGTACTCCATAAACTCAACCTAATCTAATCATGATTAAATCAAATTATGGCAGGCTACAAAGAGCCTTCTCTACTCTCTTCACTAAGCCACATGAAAGCACAAGCTTAAAATGTTCTGACATTTTAAACAAGTCTGGCTGAGCTGATCCCAGATAGTGACATCATATTCAGGAACAATGAGCTATGTCATCTAGTTAAAACTAATGATTCCTATGTTCTAGAAATCATAATGTGAATAAGTTAAATAGTCATAATGTGTCAAATACCATAAGTTTATAATAGTGCTGGGAAGCAATTTGAGAAAAAAAGTATACTTTTGTTTCAAAATATTTTTAGTTTATTTTTTATTTATTACAATTTATTCACTTTGTATCCCAGCTGTAGCCCCCTCCCTTGTCCCCTCCCAATCCCACCCTCCCTCCCTCTTCTCCTCCCATGCTCCTTCCCCATTCCAGTGCTAGGGGAGGTCCTCCTCCCCTTCCATCTGACCCTAGCCTATCAGGTCTCATCAGGACTGGCTGCATTGTCTTCCTCTCTGGCCTGGTAAGGCTCCCCCTCCCACTCAGAGGAAGGTGATCAAAGAGCAGGCCAATGAGTTCATGTCAGAGACAGCTCCTGTTCCCCTTACTAGGAAACCTACTTGGAGATGGAGCTGCCATGGGCTACATCTGTGCAGGGCATCTATGTCTTCTCCATGCATGGTCCTTAGTTGAAGTATTAATCTGAGAAAAGACTCCTGGGCCCAGATATTTTGGTTCTGTTGCTCTCCTTGTGAGCTCCTGTCCCCTTCAGGTTGTTCTATCTCCCCCTTCTTTCATAAGATTCCCTGTACTCTGCCCAAAGTTTGGTTATGAGTCTCAGCATCTGCTTTGATACCCTGTTGGGTATATATCCAAAATATGCCCCAATATATATACAACAAGGACATTTGCTTAACCATGTTCATAGCAACTTTATTCATAATAGCCAGAATTTGGAAACAACCCAGATGTCCCTCAACTGAGGAATGGATACAGAAACTGGTACATTTACACAATGGAATACTACTCAGCAATTAAAAACAAGGAAATCAGGAAATTTGCAGGCAAGTGGTGGGTTCTAGAAAAGATCGTCCTAACTGAGGTATCCCAGAAGCAGAAAGACACAGATGGCATATAACCACTTATAAGTGGATATTAATCCATATAATATAGGATAATCATATTAAAATCTGCACACCTAAAGAATCTAAGCAAGAAGGAAGGGTAAGATGCTCAATCCTCATTCAGAAAGACAACAGAAGAGGGAGAAAACAGGGAACAGGACAGGAGCCTACCATAGAGGGCCTCTGAAAGACTCAAAATATTTTTTAACTAAAAACATCTACTGATAATTCACAAAACATGTTGGCAGGAAAGTGAGACGTTATACAGAACCTCACATAACGTAGTGACATAAAGTAAGACATTCCTAGACTTCACATCACCAAACTCATACAGTATTTCTCATAGTCTTGGCTTTCAAAGATAACCAACCCCTGAACTTCTTCCTCCCATGCTGGCTGTCCCCTACCAACTTCCTTTGCTTCTTCTATGGTGCTGCTTGTCTGTTGTTTTTGTTGTGTTTGGGTTTTGGTTTGGTTTGGTTTTTTGGTTTGGGTTTTCTGTTGGTGGTGGTGGTGGTATTTGTTGGTTGATTGGTTGGTTGGTTGGTTGGTTGGTTGGTTTTCCTATTGATGTTTTGGGTATTATTTTTTTGGTTTTTGGTTTGTTTTGTTGTCTACTTGGGAAGAGAGAATGTCAGTTGGGGAAATGACTCCATCTGATTGTCCATAGGCAAGCCTTATGGGTATTTTCTTCATTGCCTAAAGGCAAGCCTTTGAGTATTCTTGACTAATAATTGCTGTGGGAGGTCCCAGATCACTACGGGTGGTATCACTTCTGAACTGTCCTAGATTGTATAAGAAAGTAGACTGTGCCATCCATAAGGAACAATAAGCCAGTGAGTGGTGACCCTGCATGACATCAGTTCACTCCTTCCTCCATGTTCCTATCCTTTTCCTTTGAGAGTTCCATGGCTCAAAAGTATATTCACTTTACTTTCTTTTTGCTGTGTCTTTGTGAGTGGATTGAGTATGCATGTCATTTTGTGTGTGAGCACATATGCACACACATATGGAAGCTGACATTGGGAATCTTCCACGATTATTCTCAACCTTATTTCTTAAGACAAGGTCTCTCAGCTGAACCCAGAACTTGTTGGTATGAACTTGTTGGTATGGTCCAGCTATCCACCTTGCTCTGGAGTATCCCCTGCCACCTTCTGAGTGCTGGAATTATAGGTGGACTGCCACACCTACCAAAATTAACCTGGGTTCTGGGGACCTGAATTCCAGTCCTTATCTTGGCAGCTTGCATAGTAAATGCCTGAACTGCTGAGCCAACTTCCTTGCCCTTCCCTCTTCTTTTGTTGTTTGAGAATGGAATACATGCATGTAATACATTTTTATCAAATCTACCCATTTCCCTCCCTTTCAATTTCACACCTATACTCCACCATTATTTTCTTCCAACTTCATGTGCTCTAAACAAACAAATGAACTACTGAGTTTATTTAGTGTTGCCTGTATGTGCATGGGTATAGGACCAACTATTGGAGCCTTTCAGAGGATGTTTCCCTGGAGGAAACTGACTCTTCCCTTGCACAGCATCACCAATTGCCAATAGCTCCTCAGCAGGTTGTAGAACTTCATGATCCCTTCTCTCTTCATTTTCTTACTTTTTGTAATGGCTTTCCCTTTTCCAATCATAAACCTCCCTCTCACAATCAGGTGTTCCCAGATGTTTCATAGGGTCTTGATGCTCACAGAGGTTCCTGCAGAATGTGTGTCACTTTTCTGGGAGGTGACTATCTCCTCGACTCTAGGGGCGAGAGGCTGCTCTGGATATAGAGCCAGCCACACCCAAGGCCCAAGGCCACCTGTCTTTGGTGTTGCCTCTCTTTTCTCCTTTCTGAAACAGGCCTGAGTCTTAGTTGCATCCCAGTCCTTCCTGGCATGGAGGTCATGGGAGTAAGAGGCCATATAGATCTCCACCTGCATGTGAGTACATGTCCCAAAATTGACTTCTTTCCCAATAACTCATCCCAGGAAACTGCATAGGTCCCAGCTCTCCACTTGCTCCACATAATGCCAGGGTTTGATGGCTACAAGAGGAATTACTAAGAATATCTACCTCAGAGGGACATGGAGCAACTATAGTAACTCAACGACAGTACAGAAGCTGGTTGGTGAGAAAATACTAGTTCATAGGGTTTGGAGGAGGTCCCATACAGGTCAGAGTTGGGGTAATCCTGAAAAACGCACCCAGGTTTTTGGGGGGTAGGAGGATCAGAAGTGTTTCACAATGAAGCAGCTCAGGTTGTGCAGACAAAACAAAAACAAACAAAAACCAAGCATAGTGGGGCTGTAGAGATCATTTAATGAATAAGAGCACATGCTGTACAAGCATTACAACCTAGGTTCAAATCCTTAGCACGCATCTAAAAAGCTGTGTGTGTCTGTGTGCACACCTGAAACTCCAGCATAGTGGTGGTAAGGGATGAAGACAAGAGAATCACTAGGGCTTGCTGGCCGGCAGCCTAGCTCCAGGTTCAGTGAGAGATTCTGTCTCAAGGAAATAAGGCAGAATATGATGGTGTAGGATACCCAGTATCCCAGTGTCCTCCCTTTGACATGTGCACACAAACACACACCATAAACTCTAAGTACAGAGTCATTGCTCCTTAAGTTTTGTTCACCATACTATCAGGTAATATCAACAAAGAATGGCTTTGTTTTATATGAAATATTGAGGGGGGAAAAAGAGTCTCATTACTCTTACGGTTAGGAAAAGTATACAATTCTGAATTTTTACTTATATATAGTTTAAGTGACAGGAACTCAGCCATCTGTGCACCCTCCTTCCCTGTGCTGTGAGGAACCTGGCTCCCATGTAGCTGGAGCCCTATGGAGAGACCCAAGCTTCTATCTCACACACAGCTCCAGGATTTGTTGGTCATTAGGACTTTGCCATCTGCTATTTTTCTCACCCTGGTGGAAAAGAAAAATCTGGGGTCTTTGTGGTCCAGTCAAGACACAGATGCAAGGTGTCTACACCTTGACGGTGCTGCCCAGCCCTTCTCCTAGCCAGAGCCATGGCTATAAGCCACATATCTTCCTGAACCAGTATCCTTGGAAGCTGGGAAGACAGTATAATGTGAGGAGGCCCCAACTAGGGACAGGTTGGGTAGGTGGTGCCAATCATGATGGGAAATCATGGAAACATGGGGTTCTCAGGACCCTGGTGGAAAGATTGCTCTGCAAACAGGTAAAAGCCAGTTCTTGTGAGGTCTTGGGCAACTTTTCCATTTCTGGGAGGCTGGCTCTGCACCTAGATCAGCAGCATTAAGACTGCATAACTATGAGGGTCCAGGGAAGGAGAAAGCTTTTCAGGGTGCAGGGTCCCCATTCAGAGGCTGGTTGTCTGTGCTGGAACAAGCCTCTCCTGTAAGGAAGATATACATGGGGCTGTCTATGATTAGACCCCATGACTATAGGACTCACACATCTGCCTTTGAGTTATGGATGCTAGGACTCGGAAGTCTCTTGGTTCTAGACTCCAACCCAGCTTGATAGGCCAAGATATCCCACTTGCCTTGAAACACCTTCTAGAACAAATGAGACACTTTTGTTTCCATCCTGACGTTGTAGAGCATTGTCCAGGGCTCGCCAAGAGCCACTAGGTCCATGTCCTAATTCCCAGGAAGCCCAGGCCTTAAATAAGAGGCCACAGCCTTGAATCAATCCACTTGGTCACCACACTGGTCAACATCTTGTTTGGGATACAGATGTGAGGGTTATAGAGTCAAAACTCCTAGATTCATTTCTTGGCTCTGATACATGAGGCTATGGAAACCTATGAGAGCTTTATAGACTCTCTCTCTGTGCCTCAGTTTCCACACCTGTTAATGTGGATAATAAAGATGCCACCTTATTGTATTGTGATGAAAAACACACAGCTCAGTCTCTCACACAGTGCAAATGCTCAGAGGATATTGACCATATTATATGGGGTAGATGCCAAGTTTCAGAGGATCCTTGAGATCCCTGTCTTGGGATCTCTGGCTACAAGTATGAAGGGGAAGCTAGAGGTTTGTGGATGGAGGAAGAGACGGCCTACTCATGTTCAGACTATGGGAAGAGGTAAGGGAGAGACTTTATGCTTGACACGGATGACTTTTTCACAAAATCAGC